AGAAGCATCCAGTACTGTAACCTTTGCGATGTTTGCAGCTATGCCGAGCAGTTAACTCCTGGGTTCCGACTGCTGCTCCGTGGAGATGATAGTAGGGCACTAGACAGCGGCTTTGTAAATTGCCATTCTGGAATGCTACCTCAGAGCAGCCGATGATGGTGACGTTCTTGCACAGCATGTTGTTGGTACCACAATCACAGAGATCTGAGATTCGTAGATAATGACGCGCTCGTGCATGAGTGTGTGTGTTTATATGTATGTATGCGTGTGAGCATCTGCATGTGCGCATCCACGTGTGTGTGTGTGCGCGCGTGCGCGCGCGTGTGTCGTGCACATGTACACGTGTATGCGCGTGTGTGTGTGAGCATTTGCATGTGCGCATCCACCTGTGTGTGCGCGCGCGCGTGTGTCGTGCACATGTACATGTGTATGCGTGTATGTGTGTGTGAGCATTTGCATGTGCGCATCCACCTGTGTGTATGTGCGTGCAAGCGCGCACGCGTGTGTGTGCGTGCACATGTACACGTGTATGCGTGTGTGTGTGTGTGAGCATTGGCATGTGCGCATCCACCTGTGTGTATGTGCGCACGCATGTGTGATGAATGCGCGCATGTTCGCACACATGTATATGTGTGTGTGTGTGTATGTGTGTGTGCGAACAGAGAGTCACATGTGTGTGTGTGTGTGTGTGTGTGTGTGTGTGTGTGTGTGTGTGTGTGTGTGTGTGTGTGTGTGTGTGTGTGTGTGGCGACTCTGGCGTAGCCAGAGTCGACCCTGGAGCACCCTCGCACACTGCCAAGGTAGTGCTGCATGATTGGAGCGCGGAATCGCGATGTAGCTTGCAGGACAATTTACTTTGATATTGTCACTGCTGCGTCGGCCGTGGTCCACCACTCGCAGTGGAGTAGCTGTCCCTCGAGTGCTGTGAAGAATCCAAGCTCGAAGAATGCAGTGGTGGGAATTGCGGATTGGCTGGTGGAGTGCTGGAACAACTCGCTGTTTTCAGTGGAGTGGACGAGTGAGTGCGGAGAGGAAGGTCCCAATGGCGGAATGGTGGGAATTGAAACTTCAATCTTTCGTCGTCATGAGTGCACTGGTCAAGCGTTGTGGAAGTCTGTCGGATTTGTGAGGCCTTCCCCTGCCGCTTACATCGTCAACGTGGAAGAACTGCTAGTGGAGTCCTGGTGGGATTTCGGATGCCCACACTCCTTTTGCTTGGTGGATTCTTTCGTGGACAGTGTTTTTCGTGACGTGAAATTTTGAATTTTTTTTTCCTTCCTGTTCATTTTCAGTCGTTGTCACTGTAGCTGTCAGGTTGTTGTTACAGTACAGCAGTCGTCCGTTCTGCTCCATTGTTTCATCTGTTTTGCCAGTTCTGCTAGCTGATTCTCTTTATTTGCCACTGCCCCTCATAGTGCTCATGCTTGGGTGGAGGGCGGCGTGACCCGTTTAGGGTAGCTGTATCATAGTAGTAGTAGTGTGTGTGTGTGTGTGTATGCGTGTGTGTGCACTCATGCACACTCGCACACATGTGAGTACACGCTTGCAAGCGTGTGTGGGCGTGCGCGCGTGTACACAAGCTCGCACACATGCACGTGCGCGCATGTATGTTCTATCTTGTTATGTTCCCTATCCCATGCTCTCCTGCTTTGGTGCTGCCACGTAGACGTCTGTCGTAGTTCCTGTCAGAAGTGCATGTGGAACTGGCAGTGATTGTCATTCTACCTTTGTTTCAAACAACGTCTCGTTTTCGAGTTACATGATCTCTCACAGGATCCACAAAATATTTTGTGCAAAAGCAGCTAGGCTCACCTGAACCAGTGAAGAACGAGCTGGCCAACTGCAACGAGGTTGACACCACCAGCAGATAAATAGGCCAGGCAGAGTACCGACATGGGTGATGATGATCTTGCACGTCCGGTGACTGGTCACTGGTGCATACGGCTGTGGCACTGGCAGTCAGGACTCAGGGACGCGGAGGCCGACTTGTCAGCAAGCAACATCTCGCCTACTCTGCCGGAATCTTCGCTCGACTCGACCTCAGTCAGACCTGGAAATATACTTTTGAAACTTTGCTTGCACGCGTTGCAGAATTGCCGGAGTAGGCGCGAGTTTTGTTGTGCATTATTGCTGGTACACACTCTATGTTGCGCTTTTGTCCAGAAGCGCCATGCTTCGTGACTAGTGCAGTAGTGGACCGGACGATGGCAATACTATTCTCACTTTCAAAGCCAAAATCGTAATGAAAATGTATGTCACGCTTTGAGAAAGTAAGCTTGCAGCGTCGTCATCTTCTGGACAGGCGCATAGTCACTGATTTGGAATTTTGAGCGTGCGCACCTACTTCTCAAACCTAGAAGTCGGCTGAGAACGAAAAACATTTGCGCCTAAATGCTTGACAATTGTGAATTTGATCGTCGAACAAAATGCATCCTCGCGATGTCCGTCCACAGCTTTGGGATGGCCAAGAACTCGAAAGCCCTTCTCTGATAGACCCATAACCCATTGCTGAAGAGATCTTGTACTCCATCTCGCCCGACCTGGAGCGCCACTTTTTTGAAGGTCGGCTCCCTGACTATTACACACACATTCTCTCACCCTCACTCACAAGTAGTGTTTTGAACACATGCAGTAGACACACTAGAACATACACACGCTTTTGCAACGCCCCCACTATGGCCCACTTAAATTCAATATGCCACCGCCCGCGCTGCGCAGCATCTCATGGTTCAGTAAAAACACACACACACACACACACACACACACACACACACACACACACACACACTTCCTATTTCCTAAGTCATCAGTTAGTTAGCTAGTTGATCGGAGTCTGAGTGGACCATTAGCGCTTCAGTTGTAATCAGCAAGCAAAGAGCGTCATTTTGACATACATGTACATGTTGCATGTTGCATGTTGGTGTGCCCAACTCACTATACATGTAACAACAACCTCGCTACAACATGAAATTATTTCCTATACACCAGAGATAACGGTATAACGAGGTCGGACCTGTACTGTGAATGAACACGTACAATGTACATAATTATACTGTATGATACCAGACTCCAGATCAGGCAGATTGTAGTGCTGAGCAGCCCGCAGCCCGCAATCAACTGCGAAGGGCATTTGCCTGCGGGGTAAGCTCGAATGCCCCTGATTCTCTGAATCGAAGCAAGTGACAGTCCATCGCATCAAGCAAAACGAAATCTCGCAGTGCAGGTGATTCATCACCACAGAAAAATAATTGAATGCAAACAAGACTTACCAGGGTCTTCAGGAACACTGAAGTCTGAACATTCCCTGCCAACCATACTGGAGGTGGAGACAATCAGGGGCGCAAATGAACCCTGATTATTTTGCTACCCGCTGCTATCATGGCTATGGGTTGTTGTTGTTGTTGTTGTTGTTGTTGTTTATTGTATTTTACTTCACCAAGTGAACAGGTATTTCTGCCTTCTCACCAGGTCCGGAGACCTAGTTCCGACAAAATGATGAAACGTGAATGAAAATGTACATGTATGCATAAAATGATTTTATCATGTCCGTAATAGCCCTTTCACACGACGGGAGAATGTCACGGATTCTCGGCTGTGCGACAGGATCACCAGGGTGATCATCGATTTATTTGAAATCTGAGCCGTAGGCCCTTACTGGGCCTTAGCCCGCGAGATCGTAGCCCGCAACACCCTGACCCCCATACTGTGCCTTTTCGATTTCGGTTTCGATTTCGATTTCGGTTTCGATTTCGATTTCGGTTTCGCGTTTCTTGAATTGGCTTGGTATTGGTATGGTATGGTATTGATTTATTTGAATTCGGTATCTCAACAGTACATTGTACAACTTGGGAAGATCCGAATGACATAGATACATAAACATAAAAGTGGAGTAGGTGCTACAGCGGATCATTTTATCGCAGGTTGTGGGACTAAACTAATACCAGTATGCAAGTACACAAGAAATAAAAGCTGAATAAATACGACTGCATGACATTGGAGAAAAGCACCAATTAGAGCAAAACAAAGCGACACATCACTCATCGAAAACATTTTCAAAAAGGAGCTGTTTTAAACGGGTACATTGTGGCCCGTCATTAAGAAGGCAGGCAAGATGGGCGTTAAATGCAGAAGACGTATTGCAAGACTTCATTTCGAAGGGCAGAGCATTCCAAAGTAAAGCAATCCTACTAGACAATGAGCGATACCCGCATGCAGTCTTATATCGGCATAACGAAAGATTATTTGCAGAAGAGCCGCGAGTGGTGTAAGCAGGTGTACTGTGCCTACAAAATAGAGAATCTAAACTGGCAACCGGGTGAGCTACTTTACACTGAAAGATAAATTTAATGAACAACTGTAAGAAACGGTGGTCCAGAGGACATAGCTTAAGAGATAGGTAAAGGGGGTCCACGTCAGCACAGTAATGGGCACCACAGGCAGCTCGGATCGCACGACGGTGAACAGCAAATAGGCGCCCACGGTCTTTTGCAGATAAGCAGGGTAAGAACGATTGAAATGCAAATTCTAGATCAGATTGAATTACGCATAGCACATAAAGGCGACAAGCGCACGGGGACAGTTGACGAAAAGAACGCCGTAGAGCACCAATTTTGCGTGACACCTTGGCAACAAGCTTATCACAATGAGGTGTGAACGAGAGCTTGTTGTCAATTACAACCCCCAGACAGCGAGCACTGGACACTTCTGTCAGCACTTTACCATTGATACAGATAGTGGGCGTGGGACAGACCGGCCAGCGCTTGGGAGCGATGAACATTACAACAGTCTTATTCTCATTGATAGTCAGGCCAAGTTGCTGAAGATCAGTAGCGAGTGCTGATAACGTGTGGGAAACTAAATCTGCAGCCTCCTTTGCCGTCGGACAGGATGCGTACACCGTTTTGTCGTCCGCAAAAGCGAGCAATTTCGTCGGCTTGTATGCGCTGGGTCTGCAATTCATGAACTGGCTTGTCACAATCGTGTCTTTGTTGTATGCGCTGTGTCTACAAAGCTAGTCGTCAAGTGAAGTGTCGTGGCGTGCATCGTAAAGGCATAGTATCGTGTATCGTGTGAGCACGAACCGTCGTGTGATATTGAAGGCTATAATAGCCAAGACATTCTCAGTCGTTATTTTCCTGAGAGCGACGAAGAGAATCGCTAGTCCGTGCTTGTATTCCAAAGAACAAACCTTCTTCTAGACACATTTTCGATATCCAGGGTGAGTGAGTAGCCTTCAGCTTCATTGTGCTAGGCAATTATTTATACCAGCAACTAATACATGTGCTGTCAATCCTTATGTTGTGAACATGTTTTGCAGATGGCTTCCAACACATCCTCCACAAGCATAAAATATGAAAGTTTCATCAGCTGTCCGATGGGTGGCAAATCCGTTGCGGAACTCCCTGGCATTGGGAGTGCACTCGGCGGCCAACTCACCGCGCAGGGCTTCGCCACGGCCGATAAGGTATACGGGCAGTTTCTGGTTCTCGGGAAGGACGAAGAGAAATTTTGCACATGGTTGAAGACCAAGTGTAATGCAAATAAGAAGCAGGCCGGGGATTGTTTCAACGCTCTAAGGGAATATGCCAACAGCTACCTGTGAGCAGTGCAGCTGAAGAAATAACTCGCTTTACTGTGCCACAGCTGGTCCTACATTGTACATGTACATGTAAATGTACAATGTAGCTGTTCAACAGTATGAGCAAGGTCAGTGACCAGTGTGCTGGTGACATTTCCTACCATTTCCAATGCATCTGTCCTATCGTCTGATTTGCCATTCATTTACTGCATAGGATGGACATGAAGCATGATACTACACGTGTTCCTTCTCCTTCATTTGTGATTGTACGTCCTCCTTACAACTGATCTCCTGTTTCTCGTTTATTATCCTTCCACTGTACGTGTATGTACTGATAGCTTTTTTCATTGAAATCCTTTTCTCTCTGAATCGTAATCGTATTGTCGGTGTGGCACCGGTTTTAGATATGGACCAGGACTGCGTAGGTATATGCGGATGTGCGGACGTCGGTGAATGCTGTTGTGTTTGCTTATTTAATAATAATATAATAACTTTATTAGGATGACCCAAAGGCAAATCGCCTATCGAGGGGTTCACCGCATTGAATAGTTGTGGTATGACAAAGCAAAGAGGAAACCATTGTGTGTGTGTGGGGGGGGGGGGTATATTCTAACATCGCGAACCAGACGGGTAGGCTTGCCCAGTATTATGAATTATGATGGTGATGGAAATGGCACAACATTGCGATGTGGAAAATAGCAGCCGGAAAGATGGCTTCGCGGTTCTATGCCGCCTAGCAGATTAGGGGAAGATTATGTAACAGAACTAGGAGAATGAAATTGAAGTCACCACTGCAGCTGTACTTATGGTTGATAAATATGGTGGTAAAGACACACCTGGCAATATGGCGGTAAACACACGCCTGCCCACACACGCTCTCTAGGCTGCAAAGTTCTGGCTCAGAGCTCTCCTTCTCACCACCACCACCACCATCAGTTCGCGCCTGGTGCCTGGTCGATGCATGGCTGGCGGTATCCGGCATAGCAGGCTGGTACATCAAGTAGCGCATGGCACATAGGTGATGACACAGCAACGACATAGCTCGATTGCGACGTAGACCCGGGTGCTCGAATCAGAAACGATTTGACAGGTGTGAAATTTCTCATCTGTAAATCTCAACAATGTCAGGATATACTTTTGGAGAGGCGATGGAACAGGGAAGGGAGTCTGGCTTGACCCACCCAGCAGGAATTCAGAACCTCGGTGCGCTACAACACAAGCTACAGTACGCAGTAAAATGGTCGTATTTCCTTCGGATTTTTTATTTGAAAATTGGGTGCTCGAATCAGAAACAGCAAACTCGTCAGATCGTCTACGATTCAAGCACACGGGTCTACCATCGTCTACGCTTGGTGTGGCAGTTGAGGGCAGGTAGTAGTAACTTACTACTTCGTTTTTGAGAGCAAGATGGTCAGTGGAGCCGCAGATTCAGCAGGTCTTTGGCAGCACCGTACAGGAGACCCACATCCTCGAATCAAGGACCCAGCAAAAAGTGGGTCGCGAGTATTTCAAAAACCGTTTACCGGGTAACGCTGAAATTTGGCATACCGTTAGCAGGCCGTATGTTGATGGTATTTGTGAAAACTAAACGAAATCGGAACAAGTTTAGGTACAATTTCAGGGTGTTTCTGTTTTGGTACCCTGTGTCTCATTCGAGCACCCTGGTCTACGTTTTGTCCCCGCTGGACTCATCAGGCAATCTTCTTCTTGGATGTCTTCATACGAAGCTTGACTCGGGAGAATGAAATTGAAGACACCACTGCAGCTGTACTTATGGTTGATAAATATGGTGGTAAAGACACACCTGGCAATATGGCGGTAAACACAGTCCAGATATCGACCTCAGAAGCAGCCATGGCGAGCCAAATGACAGGATGCAGCGCTTGGTGACGACGTAACCGTCGTTGTCGGCTTCTATCTCCGATCCGCAATCGGTCCTGAAACAGCATCAGCTCCGACACCTTGTCGCTATTTACAGAAGTTTTCAAGATGAGAGCTGCTCGTCAGACTCGTTTGCCAGCGAGGCCAAGATCTGGACCTGGTCCTGGAGGGGACCTGGATCTGATGGGACAATGACTGCGCTGGATTGTCTACACTACAGTCAGATTTGATCGACTGGCTAGATGGACAAAAACTATTCGATGTACATGTATGCACATGGACGTTAACCAAAATAAAAAATAAAATAAAATAAAAAATAAACCCGACCGACCGACCCTGGTACGGATGAGTGAAGTGACCCGAAACAACGAATTAATTCTAGGTGGCCTAATAAAGATATTATTATTCTTCCTCAGCCTACTCAAGCTCAACTGATGAGGGGTGAATTCCCCGAAACACCGTGTATTGAGCAGGGAGTGGTGCTTTCTTGCAGGTTTGCCGAGTGGAAGGCTGTCCCTCCAGGAAATCGCGATTCCACGGACGCAACAAATTTCGCGATTTGGGCCCAAACCCGCGATTTTCTGAAAAATCCGCGATTTCCCGCGTTTTTTGTTGTTTTCTGCACTTCTTTTGACATTTTTCTGCACTTTTCACGCAGTATACAGTGCTTTCCATGATCCTGCTCGTAGGTTATTTCCACAGTACGTAAATAGCGATTCTAAGGATACAACGAATTTCGTGATTTGGCCCAAATCCGCAATTTTCTGCCAATAATTCCGCGAGTTCCTGGCCAGTTCCGCACTTTTCGCCGCATTTTTTGTTGTTTTCTGCCGCAATTTCTTGCGCAAGTTTTCGAGGATTTTTTCCGCAAATTCCCGCAGGGACAGGGAAGGTGCGACGTGCTCCTCGTGTGCTCCGGATGGCAGTCGTGAGTCAGTCAAGTGTCAAGTTCGGCAAGAAGCGTGTGTTCCTAGTTGGAACAATCAACTTCATTATTATTAATATTATTATAATCCGCCAGTGCCTACTGCGCGCCGTCCACTATAAATCTCGGTTGTACTGCCGGTCCTCTTGTGCTAGTGATACCGTATTATCTCTAATAATTATAAGCACAGTCCTTCATTTTTTCAATCTACCTACGCCCCGTGCTATTATTGGAGACGTTCCTTTATTGGAGACTGTTCCAATATTATTTCAACTAGTGGTGTGCACGGGTAGTCGGGTACCCGTGAGGACCTCGGGTAGTCGGGTACCGAATAGTACCCGAAAACCCGAGGTCGCAGATGACATCATGTACAGTACAAAATAATTCACGCATGTCTACCCAATGCGCCAGGGAAGGGGCGGATGTGCATCGTGGTCTTACCATGGAAACATTACCCGATCGGGTACCCGTGCTACCCGTGGAAAACTACCCGGACCCGATACCCGAAGAAAATGCTACCCGACTCAGCCGGTCAGCCCAAATTTCAACCTCATTTCAGAGGCATGTTGTCATGCCAAATTCATGTCAAACACACACATTTCAGGGTCTTTTCGCCGGTACAGATAATGAATTTACAAAGTGTGCTTATAATGGAGACTGAGCACTTTATTTTTTGAATGCCGCCCCAAGGTGTTCTATTATTGGAGACGTGCTATTATTGGAGACTGTGCTTACATGTATATTAATAACGTATCGTGGGCGTTGGTCCTGCCGAGCGGGGCCGGAGTGACGGCCTGGCGGATTGTGGCGCTGTTCCAACGTCTCCAGGCGGCTGGTAATGGTCTGGAGCGCGGTTGTGATGGCGTCCAGCTGCGTCGGCGATGAATTCACTCCACACACAGGAAGCGGAGTACTCGGAGACTGTACTTATATTAATTAAGGCTAAGGTAGGTCACATTCGACGCAACGCCGACGGTACGGGACGTAAGGGCTTGTCGGGAGGGCTGGGGTGAGCTGTCAAATCCTGTACGATTCATACGACACGACATGCAGCAGTCGTTGCGACGTTCACCGTCGAACGGCGCGAGTCATAAGGCACGGTCCGTGACGGGGTGACTCTTGGACCTAATTTCTCGTTTTTCGGGACTTCTTTTCAATTATAATCTCCTTGAAAGAAGCGGAATCAAGTTCACTATACCAGTTTTTCGTGCAGCCATGGCATGCATTATTTTACGCGCTGCTGCTGGTCGCATCGTATCATCAACAATACATGTGCACTGCATGCAACGACGACGTTCTGTACGCGCTGAGGGCGCCGGCCCCGGTCAATTGACTGGATTTCCATGTCCGCGACAGAACTATACATGATTGTGTTCAAAGCAGTGCCGCGAACTCCAAACCGAAGCCCATCTCATATTCGCATTGAGTGCATGGGCCATGGGGCATCATCATGATCATGCCGCTCTCTACATGACTGTAGTGTAGCTTCGGCCTCGCCTATTCCGAGTATTCGTACACATGTGTAGATGAACGATGACAACTCGCTGATACCATTCATCTGAGTGGATTCTCCGCTGTTGAGTGTTGTTTGCCACGCAGCTGATTCGGCTTGTGGCACGTACAAAGCCGCTTGCACCTCGCCAATAAAGCATCGTTCACCAATAAAAACTAATGGAAGCACACATAAGACGTATCGTTTCTCTGTAATGACCATCGCGGTGCGAAAAATCACGATGACTCGGCTGGAGGTCGAGTTTTCCACATCCGTAGGAACGCCACCACACTCAAGGATCAACGCTCAGATGCCGCACCTAAACGGGTGGGAGGTGAGTAGATCAGACGCACCAAATTGGAAGTTCACCACCGAAACTTACATTAAAAATTGTATACTTCAGTTCCTGCATGTCGTCTATCCACCCTCCGCCATGACCACTTATGCCTGCTTACACACAACATATTCCTTCTCAAAATCTCGAACCACCTAAAGAATTATGATTGGTTTCACCTCAGTCGAAATACCCGTGACCAGGTCTCGCTCCCCGTCCCTCGTTTATCTGTTCTTCTCCGATCTCCCCTTTTTCTTGTTTACATTGTACTCTCATTGGCTCTCTCTTCCGTATAACTTGTGCAGTGTCTATCTCAGAATTTAAGAATGCGCTGCGTTATGTGAAATAGTCAACTTATATCTCATTTTTTTAATTTTTCTTGTAAAGAAAATAGGACCTAGACGTTACTGGTTATGGCTAAGGTAGCGATATTATACAGTCAGATAGTACGACAACAAGGCACACAACTGACAAATTTATTGAGTCATTCGACGACCTGACACCTAGTTCAAACATATCTACGAAGGGCAAACCAACAACCTTCCAACTTGGAAGGCTCAGATGCGGGAAAGTTCCAATGAGGGGAGGGGATGTGCCACGAATTCTAGAGGCCCTGCTCGACGATGAGGAGGAGAGGTGCGAGGGCATCATTCCAGTTCTTGTCCTGGACGAACGCTTTCTCAGGCAACGAAGGGTCCAAATGCCACGAACAAGTAACTATTCCGAGGTCACAGTACCAGCCTACACCCTGGACGATTCTCGGCAACATTC